TTTTCACATTTGATGGCTGTGTAGTTTCTTGGACGAGCAAGAAACAAATGTGTATAACTCACTCAACTATGGAATTTGAATCATTACTTTAGCAGCAATTGAGAAAGAGGCTGAATAGATTAGGAATTTATTGTTGGATATCACATTATGACCTAGTCCTATGCCTCATATTTCTATCCATTGTGATAGTTAGGCTATTTTGGCTAGAGCTTATAATAGCACTTATAATGATAAGTCTAGACATATTAGTCTAAGACACGAGTATGTGAGACAATTGATTAAAGATGGTACCGTAACAATTGTCTACGTGAGGTCAAGCAATAATCTAGCTGATTCCTTGACAAAGGCTTTACCAAGAGACATGGTAAATATGACCTCACAAGAAACGGGACTGAAACCCTTTAATTAAAGTCACAAGTAATGGTAACTCGACCTTTTGCTAGAACATCACTAGTTACAAGGTTTACTGGGTAAAAACAAGTTACTGAAGTGATTGTTTGATACTAACATGAGCCCGGACATGAGAAGTCAATATCATCTGTTACGTTTATAGGTTGAATTAAATTCTTAATGAAGTATGGTTCAAATGTGTTATTAGTAATAGAAACACATGAAAGATACTTCATTTATATGAGCTTAGAAGTGGTGCCGCTTTTTACGAAAGTAGGGATTGCTTTCTAGAGAACTTATGAAACAGGTACAAGCACATGATCATAATAGTGCTGAGTAATATAAAAATTTTCGTTGAAACAAGAGGTTATTATATGTGTGGTATGTCCGATTCTATTATTTAAAAGTACAAGTTTAAAGTCGAGCTACTTGTCACTTTGATAGAGTTTTAAGATACTTGCACTAAGCAAAGGTTTAATTCGAAAGACACCTTTATGCATGTATATTAATCTCACGGAAATTTTGGCCGTATATTTTTAACGTTTTATTTCAATTTTGTTTTACAAACAAAGTGGGGGATTGTTGGTAGTTTGTTTGTAAAACAAACAACAAGGTGCCTTGTCCCACATCGAAAGGATGTGAGTGCGCACGTGAACGAGATTTGATACTAATCAACAATCATTTTTATTTATTTATTAAATTTCGAATTTATTATTATAAAATAACTGTTTTGTCATATTGAAACAATGTGACTGTTCGCAATAGAGTGGCGGTTATTTTTTAATAATTTAATTTCGAATTTATTATTTTTTGCCTAAAGGTTATTAGGCGCTTTTACAATCTTTGGAAGGTTGTGTCTATTCGGACATAACTTCTTAACCTTTGGAAAGTCGTGTCTGTTTGTATATAACTTCTTTACATTCAAAAGGTTGTGTTTGTTCAACGTATAAATATTCCAATGTTTTTGTTCATTAAGAACAACAATTTTTCATTTCTTCCAACATATATACAACCATCTTTTCTAATTGTTTACTTTGAAAGACCCTGGAGAAATATCAAAATTGCTATTTGGTATTCTCATTGAGACTTTGTTGTATCCTGGAGGATTTTTGCCGGTAACCATTAGCAACGTTGTGGGGCAAATAATTCTTTAAAGAAAGTTATATCACATCTCAAAGTCTAACTTTATTGTTTATCCCGTTTGAAGTTGAAGTTTCTTTTCTTCTACAAATTCGGAGAAGCATATTTCCCCAACAGATTTTGACCTCCAAGTCACATTGGTTTGGCTTATACCACACGCGAAGCCAATCCTTTTAATACCGCGTCCTAAGAATTGGCTTTGCAAAATAAGGGATTTGTTCTAGCTCCTCGAATATTCAACCAGTTTATATTAGGGGTGTGCAAAAAACCCAGGACCGCCCAGGACCGCCTGGGACCGGACCAGAACCGGTGGTTTCCAAGGGGACCGGTTCGGTTCCCGGTTCCAATTTTTTGGAACCGGTGGGTATCGGTCCGGTTCTCGGTTCCCGGTGTGGAACCGCCCACCAGCCCACCCGGACCTGACTGATAATATAATAATAATATATTTATTTTTTAAAATTTTAATTAAAAAATCTGACCAAAAAAAAAAAACGTAACTAGACACTCATAACTCTCTGCTCTCTTATCTTTGGACACTCATTTGATGGGTACCCACTTGATTTATGGATGATGTGGTTAATAGAACCGATCATAGTATAGGAATTGTATGGAAAGTTATGTTCTTTTCTTTTTGTTCCGTTGATCCAATGTTGATCCACATATTTTTTTTTATTTGTCCAGGAAAACTTGGTGGGACCGGTTCCATGGACCCGCCCGGGAACCAGACTGGACCGGCGGTCCGGTTCCCGGGCGGGTCCATGGAACCGACGGGCGGTCCTCGGTCCCAAAATTGAGGACCAACACTGTGCGGGTTGGTCCTAGGGTTAGAGGGTGGACCGGCCCAACCCGGACCATGCTCACCCCTAGTTTATTTCACCCTTCATCACTGCGCTGTTTATATTCAACAACAAGAAGAAGCATTCTAGGGACAGTTGAATAATGAAATCGTATTCTGAATATAGCGGCCACCTAGTTATGAATAAATATAGATTTCATTTCGGCAGTGCAACGGCCCAAAAACATGCATTGATCAGCAACCTCAGCGAGCTGTCTAAGATCTAAAACTGCTAGATTTTCCTAGATATGTTTTTTAGTCAAATTTAAAGATGGAGAGTGCAGCAACGAAAGGTGGAGTCACTATAAATTATTTTGGAATCTCTTAACCCCTTACTCCATATAGCTGTTGATAAATGATACTTGGTCTACACAGCATATTTAGTCTGTAAACTTTGCTTCATTCTCTAAGTGTTGTTTTATAAAATCTTATAACAACCAATTCACCACCATCTTGATTGTTAAGTTCGGTCCAATTCATTTGTCAACCACTACACGAGCCTAAACAGCGCTTGCATCGCGCCTTATATGGAAGCTTAAGGCTTGGCAGCAAGTGTATTACGTGCAATTAGCTGTGGTTTGATCGCCTCGTCGTACTTGAATAGGCTGCCGGTGTGGCGCATTGCGCTAGCAGAGCTTCGCCTAGACATGGACATTCGAGGTTAAGTTTCTCTTGGTGCCTCCTCAGGTGGCCTGTTCCACCTCCGGATTCGACGGATAACTTAGATCACAAATCATGCACACCGCATTCTTCTTACCATTGAGGAGGACCTTGATTTTCAATGTCTTCCAAACAGTGGACGTTGGTTGCCGCCAAGTTTGCACTGCATCATTTGGAGTTTGCTGACTGTTCGCGTCGGGGATTGGGGTTTCGTGGAGGGGAGGGGTGTTACCGTCGCCCCGAGAAGGGGTGGCGGTCCACCGTCGGCTTGCATTTCTGAATAATTATCCGGTTGCTGTGTCCCGTCGTCGTTGTCGTGGAATTTCTGTCATTGCCCGAGTGGAGCAAGCACATGGGGAGTTTCCTCTGTATCAGGGGCAGTGAAGGATTCGTAGCGCCACTGCTAGTTTGGAGTCACGGACTTGTCAATTAGGAAGTGGGTTGGATAGCGGTTGTGATCCATTGCAAGATTGAAATAGGGAGGAAATTGTGCATACAAAGTCAGAAGTTCTTTTTTTTCTTTTTTTTCTGTTTTAATCTAACTCTCAACTCACTCTCAAAGTCAAAAATTGTTAGAAAGTAAGAATTTTTGAGAATTTGTGAGAGATTGATGAAAATAAAAAGGAGAGAGAGACCTCTAATTTATGGGAAAATTTTCATCTATTTAATATTTTGGCCGAAACACGGTTAAACAATCACTGCCCTCTGGGGCCCCATTTTAATTTTTTTTTTAACCCGATGCCACATGAGCTTAATCAGTAGACTCAGCTAAGAGAAAAACTTTCAACCCCGGGTTGGCCTAGGCTCACCCGGACCAGTTCTCGGGTAGTGGCCCTAGAGGACAAGTGTCGCGCTTGGCGTGCCCCCTTTTACCTACTGGGCCCAACCAAATACGGTCCTTCACATTGAGTGGTCGTGCCAAGCACGAGTCCAATCGTGTCGTGTCGTGCCAGACCGTGCCGATTGGCTCGGGTACATTTTGAATGGACTCGTATTTGACAAATGGATAATACATGGAATTTTATGATTAATTTTAGGCTCCTTTTGTTCCGCGGAAAATGAGTGATTTTGAAAACGTTTTTCTAAAAATGATTACTTATATTACTTGATATAATTAATCAATAAAAAATATTTTCATTATCGATAATAATTTATTTATAAACATTTGCATAAAACAATGATGATAGTCTTAATTCATTCATTTTAGTGACAGATACAAACAATCATTTTTAAAAAAATAATTTTCAAATTACTAATTTTTCGAGAAATAAATAGGGTTATTACCACGAAAAATCCCAAACTGGTACACCTGTGATAAATTTACCCCAAACTAATTTTTTGACAAAAAAAAAATCCAAAATCGGTACACTTGTGATAAAATTACCCTATGTTAGTTTCCGTTAAATTTTACGGTTAAATTGTTTTGTTAAATGACACGCGGTAGTTGAATGATGTACCGGTTTTAAGTTTTACCATCCATTTGTCACAAGTGTACCGATTTGTAATTTTTTTTTGTAGTAATCTAATTTAACAGAAACTTAAGGAAAGTGAATTTGTCACAAATGTATCAGTTTGAGGTTTTTGGTGGTTAAAAAATTAGTTCCGAGTCAATTTGTCACATGTGTACCAGTTTAGGATTTTTGTTGGTCAAAAAATCAGTTCGGAATAAAAAATTTTCAACACGTGTATCGATTTGTGATTTTTCGTGATACTAATCCAAATTAACATAGGCTTTCTAAACAAAAACCGTGGCGCAATAAAGGATGACGAATGAATTTCCCGCGATGATGTCACACCCGGGACACATTATAATCATCAGCCTATCTTCGACGCGTTGGTGTAAATTTGTTACGGGGTATCAGTTTGAAATTTTTTGTGATTAAAAAATTAATTTGAGATAAATTTCTTACGGATATATAAATTTGAAATTTTTCGTGGTATTAACCCAAACGAACGTAACCTTGCTAAACAAAAACCGTGGCGCATTAAAGGATGACGAACGCATTTCCCGCGATGACGTCACACCCAGGACACACCGGAGGACACATTATAATCATCAGCCTATCTTCGACGCGGTGGTGGTTCGCCTTCCTCCGCCTCCCTCCGAGCTCCACCACCTTCCGCACCAGCTCGTCGGAGCTTCCGTCTTCCCCTCCAAAGGTAGGCCCCTCCCTCCCCCTCTCTCCCTCTCTCTCTCTCTATCAGATCTGAGCTCGCTTCTCCGTAGCCCTACCGGCCCCGGCGCCGCCGTCGGTCCGATCGGATCCGGCAACCGATCGCCCTTCCCCTGCTCCCCGACCGCCGGCCGGCGTCGCCGTGCCCCGCTTCGACTCCGCCGCGCCGGGACCGGGGCGCGATTCGGGTTGCAGCCGCTCTGACGTTTGCTTGCTGATACGATCGTGATGCAGGGACCGGGGAATCGCGAGGGTTTTGAAGCCGCGGCGGTGAGCAGTCCGAGGGGCGGCGGCGGCGGCGGATTGTTTTTGTCGGGAGCGATGAATACCAGAAGGTTGGTGTTTTGCTGTTTTGATTCGCCATTTGCTGCTGTCACGGCCTTTGCTGATTTGAATGAACCTGTTTTGATTGGTTTTACTGCGCGTTGAATTGGAAATCGTTGGATTCGCTAGCTTGTTGGGGCTGAGATGGTGCTTGAAATGAACTACTGTTGCTTGCTCTGTCTAGTGCTACCGTCAGTTGTTGGGGCAATTGTTCGGACGGGTTTTGCTTAATGTCAATGCTTGTCGTTGTCCGGCTGATCCAAGGTAAAAGTGAACATTTTGAGTGTTTCATGAGACATCGGTTTCTTAGGCAGTATAGTCGATAGATGTTACCCCAGATTACCACAAGCAGGATCATCCAAAAAATTGATGACTTGAATCCTAATGGTAGCCAACCAAATGATACTCCGGTCGACAATATGGAGAACTAAGTCTGGACAATAATAGTCTGTATAAGAGTGTAAATAGTTTTAACTGTTTGTAAGATCGGAACTTGCATTGGTTGGAATTTTAGGTGAGTTCAGTTCAAGCAGTTGGAGTGAGCTGAGTGTAAGCTTGAAATACTTTTGCCTCAAGAATATTTTTTTGTAATCATTTGAGACTGTTGTTGGTCTTGCAAATATCCTAGTCCTTAGACACGAAAATATTCTTTTTTGTTAGTGTCTGCTATTCATCAAATCCTCATAGGGGTGAACTTTGTCAAGTGCCTACTTTCATGGAGCACATATCCTCCCAAGCAAGGCTGTTCAAATTGCTTTTTGTTTTTCAAGTGAGATCAGGGTATGGCCAGTAAAATTGGATGGTGCTATCGGAGTTCATAATCATTATAGTGGACAAACTACTAAAGAAATAGCTTAAAACATGTCATCCCTATCATTGTGAATCGAGTTGTACGAAATTGTAACAAGCACCAAAAGCCAAAACGTTAATATAAACCAAGTAAATGTAATAGGTAAAAGAAAAAACATGATAGAAACACAGTTTTCTCATTCAACTTCATGTGTAAAGCTCCTTGGAGAGACAAGCCAAGTAAGCTTAATAGTCCATAATGATACTAAAAGTTCATAACGAAAAGCACTATTTCATCATCGCAGCTGCTGCTCCTTGTTTCTCGTCATAAAGGACACTCATGGAGCAGACTTTTGTTGGTTGAAACATTGAAATGTTTGTATACGAAAGCCTAATTCTGGATTCACCTACTGTAATTAGGATAGATATAACACAAAACTCATTTACTTTAGTCTTTCGATTTTCTTTTTAAGAATTTCAAATGTGAACTCAACTTGTTCAGTTCAATATTTTACTCTTTTCGGGACAAACTTCATAAAGTGGACAAAGATGAAAGTTAGTACGACTTTACGATTTTGTTTGATTTTTACCATTTTTACGGTTTTCAATGCGGGGTCCAGCCATGATCTTGTTTAAAATTAATTTTGGAAAAATTTGAGATCTTAAATCTGATTTAGTATCGTAATATCATACAGTGACACAGTCAAAATTGTAATTCTAACAAAAATACTCTATAGACTTCTCTTTTACAGGCTGTCGTAGAATTTTGCTATTATTTCTAGATGTTAATTCTTGTTTTGGACCGTAGGAGACCTAGCGAATGGGGAAGTATTGATAAATAAATTATGTGTAACAAGCAAGAGTAAGTGTTTCTTGGTGTGTTTTATTTCTTGGTATATGCTTTCTAGGTGATATAATTTTTGTTGATGAACCACAAGCAAGAGTAACTGATGAACTCAGAACTTTGGAGGGAAATGTTGGAATCCAAGGACTTTCATTTAAATCTGTCGAAGCTAGAATACTAAGAGTGTAAATGCATCAGTAGAAGTTCAGACAACATTTGATGAGAATTAGAGATCAGAATTCCCAAAGAGTGAACATGCTAAACATCTAGGATATATTTGGCAAGAGATGGATATCTTGGCCGTAGAGTAGAAGAACGATGGATGGAGTGGGGAAAAGTGTTCGGTGTTTTGTGCGACTGTCGAATACTGATTGACTGCGGCGAGGCCAACAATGCTTCATCGCACGGGATACTAATTAAACACCGACATGTTCACAAAACGAGTCTAGTGGATATGGGAATGCCCCAGTGGTAGTTTAGGCACACGAAGAGAAACAAAATTAGAAATGAATTGAATACACCAGCTTTCACAAGATGTTAAAAGAGAGTTGCCAACGAGATGAAGTAAACTCAGGAGGCATTGAGGAAAAGTACTAGTCGCTCCATTGAGCAAGACTGAAGCTCGTTTGAGATGATTTGGTCGCGTAGAACGTAGACCTCTGGTGCTCCAATGAGGGGTCATGTGATTAATGGATGGAGACTTGGGTTGAAGGGCAGGTGAAGCCCTAAAATACATGAAAGGAGGTTATAAGAGAAGTATGAGGCAATTAGAGCTTATAAAAGACTATATTGAACATAAGGCAATGGTGACAAAAGATTCATATTGTGGGGCCACTTAATGGGCTAATAGTTTTTGTTGTTGTCGTTGCTGCTTCTGCTTCTGCTATGGGAAGAGGGGCGGATGACTTCTAATGTTTTGAAAATTAGGTTGCTTAAAATAGGTTTTTTTTAACTTTCTCTAGAATTTTTCTGTTGGATTATGTTCCTTTGGCATGTGAATAAAAATTCCAGTTGAATGGTGAAATTCTTGATTGCGTTCCTGACATGAACAGAGAAAACGATGAATGCTCGTACTGATTGGAGTGTATGAATAATTGGTGCTAAGTTATTGAAAAAGGTCTGAACTCTTGATTCACTGTCCATGCACTGCAAAGCTAATTCTGGGAGATATACACTGTTGATTGATAAGAAGCTTGTCAAGGCACAATATAATTTTTCATTTGGTCACTGTCCTTGTCTTGTATTTGCATCAAAGTGTTGCTGATACAGTTTCCGTGATAAATTTGCTATTTCTAATATCTATGAGGAAGTTATGATGTTTACAGTTTCTCCAAATCATGTCTCTTTGCTTTGACACCTTGTCAGAGTGATGTTTCCATCTGTATGCATCTTCAGTGTAATTCTTTGTTTATTTAGCGTGCGAACTGACTTAGTTAATTTATGGTTTAACTTGACCTCTATGAAATCAAGCCTCGTCGTTAGCTGTTCATGGGCTCATATCGACTTGCTAAACTTGCTATGTTGAATAATACATTTTGTCTGTAGGGACGTTCGTGCCAATAGAGCTGCTCTCTTTGATGGCATTGAAGAAGGTGGCATTAGGGCATCATCTTCTTACTCTTCTCATGAGATTAATGAGCATGAGAATGAAAGAGCAATGGATGGCTTGCAGGATAGAGTCATTCTGCTGAAGAGAGTGAGTATTTGGAAGTGATATTCTGTTGTTGTGGGATCTTTTAATTTGGACTAAACTGCTCAATGCCATATGAAGCTTCGTCTATAGTCATGCAGTTTTCACTCCTTAACCAGAGAAGTATGGCACGACAAAGAAAATGTGGATTTCACTAGCAATATAGGGATGGAATTCGTATAGTGTATCCTTTTTGTCATGTCATCTGAGATGCAGCACTGTCCTTTATATCATCAGAAGCATGTCTTATCGTGAATTTTTCTTCCACTTCAGAGAGAAAACGAAAGTATTTTTGGATGCCCTACTATTTCTACCATTTCTTATTTTCAATGCCAGTTGTTGATGCTTGTCACTTCAACAGTTGTCTGGTGATATAAATGAAGAAGTGGAGACCCATAACCGCTTGTTGGATAGAATGGTATGAATCAGCACCCCAAGTCCTTTCTATAGGTTCTTTAATTCACTTAATGCAGGATTTTCAATATCACACCAACGAACAAGTTCTTTGTATTGGCTTTATAGTTTACTTAACAGGGATTTATATCTGTTCAGGGCAATGAGATGGATTCTTCCAGGGGAGTTCTGTCGGGAACGATGGATCGTTTTAAAATGGTAAGCTTATTGTCATTATCCCTATCAATGGATTTTATGCTGCAACTCCCCTATGTAAACGGGGTAATAGTTTCTTTTTGGTTGGTTTTGCATCAGGTGTTTGAGACGAAATCAAGCCGGAGAATGCTTTCTCTTGTTGCATCATTCGTGGTGATTTTCCTAGTCGTGTACTATCTCACTAGGTAATGGGTCGCAATACGTTGAAGGCTTAAAGCTGCTAGAGATTAAAACTTTGGGGGGTTGCTGTGAACACCTTACTTTAAGTAAATACTCTTTGGCTTGTAAGTTCGTGGTCCTCTGTTTAAAGATCTCTGGATGTGCTTGAACTGTTTTCAAAGGCTTCGACGTGGAGTGGTAATAATAGTAGTATAGTACCAGCCTGACTAATCTGCAACATCTTTTCCTTCACAATCTATATATCAATATGTAAATGAATGTCTGTACATTGGTTTGGATGTCTTGGGGTTTGCCATTTCCTTCAAGTTCTTGCATCAGAGTTGACACAAATGTTTCTAGTGCTCATCCGGTTCCGACTGTAAATGAAAATATTGAAATGAACGACAACAAATGATTTCAAGAAAGGCATAAGTACCTCTGTCATGACTTGTAAAGGTCGTCGGCGCATCAGGAAGTTTGGCATCACTAACCACTCATAAAGTACACCTGGCGTCTTGAATGATGTATTCCATCTGTCACCACTTTTCAGCCTGATTTGATGATGGTTGCTTTTCAAATCAATTTGTGAAATACCTTCGAACCAGCTATCCGTTCAAGCCCCTGATGGAAAGGTTATTGAATTCTGATGCATAGTGTCACGCCCCGAACTCCCATCGAGCTCGCGACATTCCCTGCTCCGGTCGAATAGTCGCGATGTCCCAGGAACATCGCTGACCCAACCCAAACATCAGAAAACACATGCGGAAGCGAAAACAAAACCCCTGACTATAAAGACGACGATGGGGTAGCTCAACAAGTCAGACAAAGAACAATACATTCATTAATGTACATTACTATCATCCCGAGCATACAAACCACTTTACATACAACCAGCAAAACAAACATCCATAATTCCACCGATACATCAAAAGATCAAGGGTGGGGTTAACTTAGCTTCACTACGGTTCTACTTATCTATACAACCCCTAAAATACCCTAGGGAAACCTAATGGTCGCCCTCTTTCAACCTGCTCCTGAATCTTCTGGCTTTTGCTCCGGAGGATCACCTGCAGTTCCACTGGACACCATGGGCGGCTCTTCAAACTTCAAAAAGGGGAGGCGGGCCTCCTGGGTCTAAGGCTGGGGGTCTGAAATTGTGGATTATACAACTATGAGACGAATCTCAATAAGTGTACAACCCAAACCCCACATAGGCTCTCACGTACCGCCAGACGAAAACACGCATAACACACGACAATCAATCAAACTAACAACCACACACGACCCTACCTGGAATCCATCATACACGTCCCCGCACGTTAGACAATAACACAGCCAACACACCACAGCAATAAACCACAGTCGTGCCTGTGCCTCGATTATAAAGCAAAACCTACTTGGACACGTCCCATACCGTGCCTAGCAGTATTTTACCCCATAATCGAGCACCATAGCACTCGAGACAAACACACTCACACACTGACTCACACCACGCATCACTTTCGCAAACCTTGCACCTCAAGCCAATTCTCGCTCATTCTCAACTTTTCCACCACTACCGCGCCCGCGTAAAACGCATCAGGCCAACGGCCTTCTGACCTCGTCAGGCATCGACACCCCGTCGGGCCGGGCATCATCACCTCGTCAGGGACGGCATCGTCCCTCGTAAACGAACACGCCTCAGGACGGAATCCTACACACACTTTCCTTCTACCGCGCCCGCGTAAAACGCATCAAGCCAACGGTCTTCTGACCTCGTCAGGCATCGTCACCCCGTCGGGCCGGGCATTGTCACCTCGTCAGGGACGACATCGTCCCGCGTAAACGAACACGCCTCAGGACGGATCTTTTCCAACCAATCCTACATTTCTGTATCCCCGTTCCACTCAAACCACACATACACACGGCCAACCACACCCACGGTCATACACAACCTCACGCCTCACACACATTCTACAAATGCACATTCTCGTCACACGAACACCACACGACTATACACATTTAACACGCAACCCCAATATACGATCACACCACTACTACCACATCCACGTCCACACACACGCGAGGCACACGACCACACTATCACGCCACATTTAGTGCAACAATCACTCGAAAATCAGCCAACAATCTCTAATCACACAATTATATGTACGAGTCCATTCAAAGCATAATTTTACCAATCATCAAGCAATTCAGCCCCTAGTCGGTCCACCACACCTCAGCCTCACCCGGGCCTACTAAACCACACATAATTAGTCACCGAATCAGTCCACAACAGTCCGCAATCCAGCCCCCTTACACATGCCTTAAACAGCCCCTAAACTACCCAAACCCAAACCGAGACCTAAACCTGTCCAACAATACCCGAGGTCCTAGGGAGGGTTTGGGAGTGTCACTTACCTAAGAAAAACAGGACAAACTGGCCGGACAGGGCTGGAACAGCCGGACCAGCATCAGCAGCAGCAGCAGCGTCGCCGGCGGCCTAGTGGGCGAGCGGCTGCTCCACGGCGGGCGGGTGGCTGGCGGGCGGTTCACGGCCTGCTTGGGGCGGCGATGGTGACGTACAGGGCAGGGGAGGACGGCCTTGGGTGGCTCGGCGGCAGCTTGGCCGATCGAAACAGGGAAAGACGGAGAGAGAGGGGAGAGGCGGACGGTGATGGTGCTTGGCCGGGAAAGGGAAGAAGCGGCGGCGGCGGACGGCTGGGCTGGGCGGCGACCGGCGGCGGCGAGCTGGTGGCCGGCCAGGGGGGGCTTCACGCACGGGAGAGGGGAGAGAGAGAGAGAGTGTGCCGATCGGTGGGGGTGGGGTGAGGAGAGAGAGAGAGCGTGAGTGAAATGAGAGAGGAGAGAGAGAAAAATAGATTTAAATATTCTACCCCCAATGATTGACTCCGGAAATTACTAAAATACCATTCCAACTACCCCTCCGATCCAATGGCCGAGATTTAATCATATCCTCATTCGACGGCTCACGCTAAATCGTATCCAACAAGCCAAAGGGCACACATGTAATTATCCAAAAAGGGGAAGGGGCATTCTTATCCTTCAATTTTTCGGCCACACTGGGTATTTCTCAGTCCCCCGACTTAATCCAGTCCTTAAAATTGGGAATAGTGAAAATTGGGCACAGGGGCATTTCCATAATTTTCCGGTCTAGGGTCGAAATTTCATTTTTCGACCGCACACACTTCAATTATGCGTGGCCACCCTAAAATGGCATCGGCCTCGAAAAATAATCTCATATGGTCTCGAAAATCGACGTCGGAGTCCAGAGGAGCAAAATCATAATTTTTCCGGTCCCGAACCGAAACCCATTTTTTTGCAGAAAGGGATGGCCCCAAGGTTGGCCAAGCCAAAAACGTCATTGGTCGCTCAAAATTGTCACTTTCAAAATTCTCGATTCCCGAGCCCGAATTCCAAGAAATGACTAAGATCGAACAATCGCGACTTTAGTTTATCTCTTGCTAACGGGTGGCTCATTAGGATTACGCGCTCTCGTCCCGTGACCGACACTAAGTCAAATCACGTTTAAGTTTGCTCGAACCAAGGCGACCTCGATTGTCATGTAATTGCGAGGGTCTGTCACTAGTTCCCTTTAGACACGATCAATCAAATAGACCGGTCTCTGTTGGCTCAAAACATTCCCTCGTCAATCCTTATGGTCGAAGGTCGAACCAAGGTCGAGTTCTTTGGTCGTGCGAACTCAGTCCCGTAATGGCCTTACCCCTAAGGTTAGCATCCCGTGAATGCGCATTTCCGAGTGAGATCTCACTATAAGTGCATTGGCCAAAATATTCATTTCTTAAATTCCGGAAAAAGGATCGAAAATTCAGACTGTTACATATAGTCCTCCGACAACATGGAATTTTGCTTTAGTGAGCGGAGTTACAACTCCATGGCATAATCAACAGGCACAATTTGCTTTTGCAATCTCACCCTCATATGTTGCCAAGTGCTGATTTTCGGCTTGCCTTATCGTGCACGTTGCTCCTCATGTCTCTTCCATAGAAATGCAATGCCTTTCAATTTAAGCTTCACAAACGGCACCTTCCGCGGTTTTGCCATCATTTTTCACTCAAAGTGAAGTTTCCGCACTAGCTTCCCATTTTAAATAAAATTTGGCATGCATCTTTCCACGGTAATCTGCAACTTCCACTTTCATTCCACCACCATTCTAAATCTAGGGCGAAAATCAGTATCAGGCTGATCCTTATTTCAGCCACAATATAGCTAAGTTGCAGGAAGTAAGTAGTGCAAAGGTGATCAGTTATGTATCCATAAGGTTCTTTACACGAATAGATTATACAAGAGCTTCATGGTAGTGGCTTTGGGAGGACATTTCAGCAGGGATACAACCATGTCAATATGGTGTCAGAGCGAAAAAGGTCCTAACATACGATTAGGAAACCATATTTGTAAAGTATTATAAGTGATCGTGTTTTTGGGAATGTAGAAAAATTGAGCATTGTTGAAGTATATTCTTCTCACTTCAACACACAGCAAGAAATCAAGAAAAACGATTCCTTCTTACCAAGTCATTATTCTCTAAGCTTATTATTTTTAGTCCACGGTAAACATTTTACATTGATCGAATAGTTTTACGTAATTCAAATACCGAAAAAGTATGGAATTTTTTTTTCTCAAAAATGGTTTTTCATCAAACAAATTGACCCTGAGTTAAATAAAGAAGATGGTAAAACAAGATCTCAATGACAAATTTTTGTGAATATAACTATGAAAGTAAATTCCTCTGGGCACGGGAAAAAATCTTGCCGACAACACAAAGGTGCGCTAAAGCAGTGGCGGGTCTTCTTTTCCACATTAGGATGACCCATCTTCTTTTTCTTTCTTGTATTGCTTTATGTCTTTTCATTATCACTTTGCTTTTAACCAGATTTTCCTTGGATTCTTGCGGGCCGGTTTCGCCGTGAACGACGGTTGAGGTCTCTAGTGGGTTTATTACTTTGATAATTGATTGATAGGCGGCCAACATTCGATAAAAGATTTTTTTTTTTAGCCGGCAGCATTTGATAAGTAGGGCTTCTGAACTTTTTTCTCTCTGAACCGTTTCTCAAAGAAAAGATCAAGTGAGATCAATGGAGGGGAAGCGATGCTCGGTTTATTCATCATTGGATTGATCATAATCCGGACTCTGAAAAGCTTATGATATTGTACGTGCCAACTTTTTACGGGTGACTTTGGTTGGCTAAAGAACGGTTGATAAAAGATGATTTTGGCAGCTGCTGCTTATGTTGGTTGTCGTCGGGTCAGTATCGTGAAACTTTAGTTGCGAAGTGGC